TGTAATCCTACCCTCCAAATTATATAAGTCGGGTAGGGACACTCCTCGAATGCATCTCATATTCAATACAATTCATCGAAGACACAGGGTGTAGGGTATTATGTCGATCAGACAGCCTGAACATGTCTAAATCGCTTGTCTCTGCGCCTGTGTCACCATCCGGCTCATATTACGCGCACCTCCACTGATTCATCTACTACCGTGGGCATACCCTTCGGTAGACTGCCGACCATATTTCATCGACACCTCCTCATTGCCAAGAGCAACAGGCTTGAACTATACTATGTGACCAACTCAAACTACATATTGGAGAATGCCTATCAATGGAGTCCCTTATGCTTCTGAAAACCAACACAAAGGCCAAATCAAAACGCTGTGATCATTTCCAGTCCAAATATATGCAGACATAGTAAATTACATAAATAAGGCAGCAGTCAATAACCTCACTTATGGGTTTACATTGGAGCCGAACCTAGAACACCAATTAATAGTGATACTCTGGTTGCACTTGTAGGTGAACTAGAACACCAATTAACAACAATTTAGGAATCAAGTACCAGATACAGACTAGATGAAAACAAATATAGGCGAGGATTCAAACCTCGGGAGTCATTGATCACTGGAACAGCTAGCTCGTCCTAGGCCTCCTAGTGGCACCACCTCATGGACACCTGGAGAAAGGAAAATTGAGACCACAAAACGAGGAGGCAGTACACAATAATCGACATGGAAAATGAAATGTATCTTCAACAAAGAGATGTACATCACAACACTCAGTTTATTTGGATTCGGGAAAAAACAGCACACAAAGTTTAGGCCACAGGCCACATTACATCGATGCAACATAAACAAACACTCAGCATTTCAAAAAAACTACATGACATGAGCTGAAAGCAAATGATACAAGAAGCCACTGAAATGGCCTCGCTGGTGCCCAGCCTTTGGAATACTTGTTCTCCCACTCGAAGTTGATCCAAAACTCACATCCCTCTAGGGTTTTCATGCTAAGGAATGCCGTCCGATTTAGTTTGTTCTTGCAAAGATGTATTGCTTTGCAGTAGAGAGCTGTCCCCTCATGGATACCATCTTCCTCTAGAATCCTTATCACATGGTGCAGCTCATCTTGGTCCTGTGAGGTTTCTTTTTTACCCTCTCGCATGGCTACTACTGTTTCTTTGATTTCTCGTATGCAGTCATCCAAGCTGGAAGTACTCTGCTTTTTGAGAGGGTTGTCCACAACTATGTTCGTGGCTGGCCTCTTGGAGGACTGGCCTACACTAGAGCCACCAATGTGGTCCTGTGACATCTCAAGTGGAGTGCCATCCGATGCAAGAGTGGGTGTTCGCTCACGAACACCACCTGCCCATATTAGTGTCCCTCTGTCTCGTGGAGTGTGTCCATAGAGAACTACGAGTTTGTCAAGGAACGATGATGGGTTGCCAGGATTCTCGGAGCCTTCACTGGCATCCTGCATGCACAAAAGGTAAACATGTTAGAAATCACTAGGTATAGAATGTATGCATTATGGCATTGAAGGACGAACAAGGAAACATATGGTGCACGCACGAACCGGGTCGTTCTGCCGGTAGCCTTCAGGAGCAGAAACGCCCCCAGTGTGCTTGTTGCGGCCAAGGCCGCTGCTGGTTTGGGCCTTGAGCCAGTCCATGTACTTCCCTTTCAACGCGTTAACTTTGTTCTGGACCTGCTTGTTGTCATACACATGACCTATGTGATCGGATAACCGGTGATACACGTTATTCCATCCCAGCTTTGTCAACCCCCTTTGATTCCAATGCAGAAGGTTCTTCTGTTCAATGCATAGGTCCAGAAAATAGTTCGTCGTGTCGTCGTCCCAATGGGCACGATTGTTGGACATCTGTTCCCAGTTTTACAAGATATGATTTGGTATATGCGGTACGTATATGGTAATACAAGGTATGGCACAGCACAGGGGCAACAAAAAAACACCGGTGGATGAGCAAGTAAAAAGCAGGAAACTTGCCTTGTGAGATGGCTTGGAGCGTTTGGCACGCAGGTTGTATAGCCTGGCTTCTGGTGGAGAGCAGGAGAGAAGAGTATGACGGTGCCAGTGTGGGCACCGTTGAGGAGCACGACCTCTAGCCAGCTATTGCGCCGTAGAAAACGTGGAAACCATAGTGTCAGTTCATATTACCGACATCTAGTGAAACCCTAAACCCAAATGCGTTGGTGTGAGTTAGAACTCTTGAAACCCTAAACCCAAATGCCGAAGACATTCGAGGCAACATACCTAGATTCACCGGATCCGGCGACGCAAGAAACGATGATGGAGGATGAGCGGGTCGGATCCGGAGCGGGCGGGGCTACCTTGATAGTGCCGCGGTCTGTTCGCGATCGCTGGGGGCTGATGTAGCCGAGGCCCGACGGCGTGCAGCTCTGGCGGGGGAACGGGGGTGGTCGTGGTTCCGCGGTCGGACGACCCCGCCGGGCTCGGATCCGGAGCAAGCGTTCGTAGGATGGGCACGGTGTACCAGGGCGAGGGCAAGACAGTGGAGAGGGGATAGGGGCTCGCGTCGTCCGCGGCTCGCGCCGAGAGCACGCAAGCGGCGGTGAGCTCGAGTAAACCCTAGAGGTGCGGAGCTTGAAAAGGGAATGAGAGAGGGAGAGCTGGTCGGGCTAGGGGGGCTTTTACGCCAACCGAAGCAATGATGATTTCAATTGACCGTTAAGCAATTTCAACAACACCAAGACAACACGTAAGTTTGAACACGGCCATAGTTGCGGAAGTCAGTGTTCTATCTTTTACCATCTTCTAGTTTATTTTTGAAAGAAAAAAATAGCTCTACTACAATGCACAAAATTCTTCCTTTTATCAAACAATGCACAAAATTCTACATAAAGCCGTCGTAGAAGAAACCGTCCAAAATGAGGACACTTTAGTATGGTGTTGTTGCCTGCTTCATTGCACGGTACTCTCTCCATTTTATAAAAGGTATATTCTTGTTTCTTGATAAGTCAGTTTTTTTAACATTGACCTTGTCACACACACACACACATTAATGATGCATAACTAGTATTATTAGATAAATAGCTGAATATCTTTTTATAATAAATTTATTTTGAAAATATATATATTTTTTCTATAAATTCTAGTTAAATGGCGCAAATTCTATTTTTTCAGAATTGCTAAACAACACTCGGTTGTTTCTTTCCCTATCAGCACTCGATTTTCGGTGAGTCCTCTCTGGCCTCTCCCCCTCTTCTTCTCCATGCCCCACGGACATAGAAGGGGGCTCGGGGGAGGTAGGCCGGCCAGTTGGAACGGCGGCAGGGCGGTTAGGGCCCCTGGTGGCCGGGGGCGGAGCTAGAGAAATATTGATGTGGGTGCGGCCATGTGGGCTTATTTCATAACAATTACTTAGATATATATTCACACGATAGTGTAATTAATAACACTAGTCAGACCCTTTTCATTTGAGACCTACTAATTAAAAATGATGTATATCAATAATGAAGTAGCGGTAATATGCTTACCATTTACCAAAATATAGTTAGAGGATGCTACAATTACAAACAAAAGATTGTCGACATTGACAAAGTTCAATCCTCAACCACAAGATCCTCTTTGTGATTTAAAGAAAAAGAGAACAAACTATTCAATTTTATGCAAATAAAGAATGATTCATTGAAAAAAGAAAAATAGATGCATTACGTTATCATTTGTAACTATGTTCAAGCCAATTTCTAAACTCATCGAAGCATTCCGATTCAAACATTTTAGGATTACCTTTTTTCCTATGTTGTGGGAGACCTTTCCATATTTTTTCTAGCATCCATAAGAATATTTAAATTTTGAGTTGCTTCCACTGACATCAATTTTCAAATATCATGGAAAGAATCAAATAGCCTAACCCTAGAATCCAATCAGATAATGAAGAAGGTAAGAACCACAAACTGAAACCAATTTAAATACTCAGATAGTCAGATTAATAGAAAATTGAAAGTAGAGATTTTTTTGAGTCTTATTTTGCCATTGAATCTTGATCAAGAAGTTAAGAACAAAAGCACGGAAGGGGTAGGGATGTCTCCTCTCTGCTGGTGTTTCAGTGCTTCAGACTTAGCACCTAAGTGGAGGCAGCTGGCCGCACGGACAGCGATCCAGCAGCGCCGGCGTGCTGTGGGTGCGAACGTTTGCCCGGTGTGGGGTGCGAATACGGCACAAATTTGTATACTATAATGTATTTGGCATTTGAGCTAAGGTGCGGCTGCACCCACATGGTTCTATATGAATCCGCCCCTGCTGGTGGTGGTTGTGCCAGGTTGGGGCGGGGCGTCATGGCCGGAGCTCGCTGTGGAAGCCAAAGGTCAGGGAGAGGAAGATGAAGGCTGCGCTAGAGTTTTGTCGGAGCTTTGCGGCCACGCCGCCGCGGTAGGAGCGAGGAGAAAGATGAAAGTGAAGGGGGAAATTGAGTGCGAAACGCTCGTTTCTTGGGTTGACCTTTTTTTTTAACGGAGGATTCCATAACCACAGTGCAGCAGTTATTACTTTTGCACTCACGCGCATGCGCAGCTTCAGCCAGCCGGGCAGGCAGGCGCATCTTGCAACATCATGCCATTCCGGTCCGCCACAAATAGAGTATCTACCCAACTAAAAAACATAAATTAAAATCTTTTACATCTAAAATAAATTACCGCATTCAAACTAAATTTATTTTCCCCCGAAGCAGCAGCTTGCGAGTTGCGAGGACGACCATTCCGCTTCTAGTGCTAGTCTGTTACTTACTTCCGCGCACTGAACACGTTCGACGAAATGCCGCCGCGAGACCTCTTCCTCGTCAACTGAGATTCGCCTCGCATCTTCTCCGATTCCTTCCCCTACATCCGTCCCCATCAGCGGACCCAGACGAGATCGACGAGTCTCGCCGGAGCCCGGTTCCTAGGCTTCCCGGCGCCCAACTGGATCTCCTGGCTCGGGCCGCCTTGATGGTCCCTGGGGTCGGCCCGGGGAGGAGTTCGAGGCGATGAGCAGGCTTGCGTCGGGGCTCCAGCGCCTGCGGAGGTCGTCGTCGCCGTGGGAGGTGCTGTGGTCCACGCTCGCGTCATGCGGCCTAGTGCTTTTCTCGCAGCTCGCCGTGGCGATGGTTCCCCGCCTCTTCCCTTCCCTCTCCCTCCTCGCCATGCTCCCCATCGCAGGTCGGTGCTCTCTGGTTGCTCGCTTCCGTTTTGGTTTCCTGCCCCCGGCTGCAGGCGTCTCTACTTTTTTTGTTTTAAAGCGCCAGAGCAATTCTGATCTTACTTTGATTGCGTGTTGCATAGGGTTGGTGTTCCTCGCGGCTATCGTGCTCGGCCGCCTGTGGAGGAGGTTCATCGGGGTGGCGGCGTCGGCGCCACTCTTCGTGCTCTTCAACATCCTCCTATTGTGGGGCGTTTACGTCTTCATAATCCGGAGAGGTGAGCTCTTGTAGCAATGCTTGCAGTGTATTGGTAGGATGCCCATTGTGATTTTGGACGCTATCGATTGCTGTGGTCTGTGGATATTTGCTATTTTTGTCTTTCTGCATTGACTTGAGTAAAGCTGACGAAGTTTCCTGGTTTGGGTGAGTTGTTGGGCTTGCTTTGTTCTCTTGGGTCCCATATAACTGAATCTTTTAGGTCATACTAAGCAAAGAGAGTTAAGGTGCTGGTGCTCGATTTTGACATTATGAATGTACACGATACCTGTAAAAATTAGTAAAATTAGGTGGAAGCTTATAGCTCTATGTCTTAGTTTAGCATTAAGTTGTACCTGTTTCCCAGATTTAGAATCCGACCTTGACTGAAATAGCTGAATGAAAGGATTAAGTTTGTCGGTTGCTTCTTCTGGTTAGGTACTATAAATTGGGTTCAGTCATTAAAAGATGATTTTATGCTCCATCCCATGAGAGTTGCACAGACTTCAAAAGTTCAAAGCATATACCAAGGGTAGATTTCAACTACGAATCCCTGTAGTACTTCAATATTAGGTGATTAAGTCACTCCTGGTGACCAAATTTGTGCTCAACTACACAACCCCGTAATGCGCAAGATTGAGCTGGCTCTGGTTAAGGGACCAAGTGTGGACATAGCATGCTCTAGTCAATTTTTGTGCTCACTTTTAGAGTCCTAATTCTTGGTGAATCAAAATGCTTGAAGAGTCCTAATTTTTGTGCTCACTTTTAGAGTCCTAATTTTTTATCAAGCATGGCCGCATTACTCTTGGTTTGTCTGTGCTCACCTCTAGTTCATCGTGAATTGCAGTGCTATTAGCCAGATACATACCACTGTTGAATGATATGTTAGGGCTACCTCCAGTCTGATTTATGTGGTGTTTAGCGAGTATACTAGGAAAAAGTAATACTATATTGTTAATGATCATATAAGCCCTTTTAGTGATGAATTGATTGATTTTATTCTCATGTGCCATCTTAGTACTTTGATTCAGGTTTACTATTATAACTTCATGTATTTTTAGGATGCCATCCTTTTTGGACCTGATGTAGCATATCATTGGGTATTGAGGATGAGGCACTGTAAATTGGTCTAGCAGGACATTGGATTCATTTTTCTCAAACTCACAGGAAATTTGAGAGAATGTGCATACCGTAGATTTTGTGTTAGTACTCCTTCAAGTATTTATTAATTTGTTGTGTTTTATGCTGCCGTTTGGGAGCAGGAGAAAAGAGCACTGTATATATGTTATGGCAAGTGGAGCCGGCCCCAGGCCCACGCGGTACTGTAGCGACGCGGTACTGTAGCGCGTGAAAAGATTAGATTAGATTGGGTTTGTTAGGAAAGAGATATGTGGTTTGGTTTGTTAGTAAAGAGATATGTTAGATTGATTCGGTTAGGATATTTCTTTAGGTTAGGATATTTCTTTAGGGGTCAAGTCAGTCATCTCTATAAAAGAGAACCATGTATCAGTTATAGTCAAGCAAGAAGCAACAATTAAGTTGCTGGCTTCCCCTGGGAGCCAGCCGTCCCTGCCCTCTCTCCCTCGCATGAACAGTACCCCCGTGGATACTGTAGCTCCGTCGCCGCCTCTCCCTCTCAATCCTAGCAGCCACATAACAACGGTATCGAGAGATCTTTGGTTCGATCATGTGGTTCGATCATGTCCACCGCCGCCACCAGCGTCTTCGTCGTCGGCTTGCCACATACATCCGGCCACGCCAACATTTAGACCACCATTGGCGTCCTCGAAGCGATCGCGCCCGCCGCCGGCCGTCGTCGTCCCCGCCGCCCTCGTCCTCACCCGAAGCGATGATGGCGGCGCAATCCTAGAATTACGGCAAGCCGTGGTGGGCATCGAGGCCTTCCTCGCCCGCGACCCGGCGCGGTCATCTTGTACCAAGATGGGATGCCCCACGACGGGATCTGCGACGACCTCGTTCGGCCCGTACCACCGCCGTCCCAGGGCGTTCCCATCCAGCAGATCAAGTTTCCGCCGTCGCCGTCACCGCTTCCGGCTTGGATCGCCAGTTCGTCGAAACCCATCTACACGGCACCCAGTACCCAGCCGCACCTACCGCCGCTCCCGGCCACCGGGGCTGTCTTGGCGCCTAGCGGCGCCCTAGCTCCGGGCGTCCTCTACGGCGGGGTGGATGGCCCTCGTTCCTGATGGCGGCACTGATGCCGACGCTCTCCGCCGCGTCGCCCTCATTTGACAAGACGGGCGCGGCGCCCTCGGCCGCCCAGACACAGCCCGTTGGAGTTCGCCACATCACCAATGAAGGCCCCGCCGCCATAACTCCGGCGATCTTATCACCGGCCGCGCCAACAACCCCGCCAAACACTAGTGTCACCAATGCGGCGATCATCCATGCACCGACATTGGCGGACATGGTGCCTTTGTCGCCGCCTCTCACGAGCCACAAAGACCGATCCCTCGGCGGGGCCGTGGTATTTTGCATCGCGCTTATTCTCCGCCGGCTCAAGAAGAAGCCTTCAAAGCTCCATCGGTCGCTTGGAGTACGCCTCCAGCACAACCCCGCTCGGCTGCACCCATAGCGGGGGTGGCTGCTCATGGAGGGCACCATCGACTCCACGTGCAGGCGCTCCATGGATTCGATCCGGGTGGATTCGATTCCACGCAGATCAGATGGAGCAACCAAGTTTGGCACCTCGAGGAGGAAGCAGGTCTGCCATGGCGATCTTCTCTGGACCGCAAGGTCTTCCGCTCCAGCAATCGCCACAGCTCGAGGATGACCTGTCTTCGAGGGGTGTAGTAGTGTTATGGCAAGTGGAGCCGGCCCAGGGGCCCACGCGGTACTGTAGCAACACGGTACGGTAGCGCGTGAATAGATTAGATTAGATTGGTTCGGTTTGTTAGGAAAGAGATATGTGGTTTTGTTTGTTAGGAAAGAGATATGTTAGATTGATTCGGTTAGGATATTTCTTTAGGGGTCAAGTCAGTCATCTCTATAAAAGAGAATCTTGTATCAGTTATAGTCAAGCAAGAAGCAACAATTAAGTTGCTGGCTTCCCTGGGAGCCAATCGTCCCTGCCCTCTCTCCCTCGCGTGAACAGTACCCGCGGGTACTGTAGCTCCATCGCCGCCTCTCCCTCTCAATCCTAGCAGCCACATAACAATATATGTCTACTTCTGTTGTCGTGGATCTGTAATCAGTCAAATATTTTGCAGAAACTTCTTCTCTGCTGGACATGCTAATAAATGCAGAGTGTGCACTGCTTCTGTGGGGACTCTACAGGTTACTTCTTCAGGAATAATTCTTTTTCAATGAAGTTTGCAAATCTAAACTAGGCCTAGTGAATTTAAAACAGTGCTTAAATCTAAGCTAGGCCTTTGATACCACCACCTTTAGGATGCAGGGCTTAATTTCTACCTTTTTATTGCAGGATTTTATCTGGTGATCCTGGTATTGTTGCCTGTGATTCTTCATATTTGGAAGAAGCTGGCTGCAAGGATTTTGTGGAAGCTATATACTCGAGTGAGGTGTTGCGAAAATCTAGTTTTAAATGAAGCTGTTCTAAGTTACTAACTTGAAGTAAATAGTTCTTTAACACCCTTTTTAACTTTTGATGTAGAAACTTCCAATGCTCTCAAGGGTCAGGCAGTGTACCTGGTGCAAAGCAAATATTAGGGGCTATGACCATCATTGCCCTGCATTTGGTACTTGCATAGGTATTGTTATATCCCATTTTTTCAAGTGATAGTGTTTTGCCCTATTGTGGCATGACAGTTGTAGGTATGCATTCTAATCTCCTGTGCAATTTTGCAGGACAGAAAAATCATCGGCTATTTATGGCCCTTTTGACAGGATTTGTTGTTGCTGAATCAACATATACGATGTGCTCAACAAAATGTAAGCTATTTGTTTTCTTGCTCTCTGAAATGAGTGTTGGGTTTTATCCTAAATTCCTAATAGCAGATGTGGCTGTTTCTTATCTCTTTAACTAAAGTACCCAGCAACTATTAGGTAACCATATAATTTCACCTACATTTCCGTGTTATGCAGATATTACCAGATGCATCAGTTCAGGAACTATAAGATCGGAGGTATCTATGCCCATATCTTATTCTTTGTGCATGAATTGTAAGGCAATTTTGTTTGGAAAATTTATTTCTGTGCCATTGTCACAGCTAGTATTACGATTCTTGCCAGTTTTTTTTTCGAACTGTTGACTTGGATCGAATATACAAAAACAGTGGCAATAATGGGAACAGTAATTAACCTGATGGCACATGCACCTACATTTTGCATTTTGTTTTCAAGAATTTCCTGCACTTTACTGGTTTTGAAGGTGCCCAGCTTCCCCCCACCCCCAAATTTTTCGAACATGCAGGAGAAGCTGACCTTAGCAAATAAGCTACTTGTTAAGTAAATGTGTTCAACCATACACATTATTTTTTTCTCTTCTAGGACTATTTGCTTGGATGATTTAGCATAGTAGCTATTCGTTCCTTTTCTCAAACACAGCAATTTTTTTACTGCATATGATTTGTATGTCTTTAGTACTTTCTATGGTAATATATTCAAATCAGGTCGACCATGGTATAATCAAAAGCAATTTTTTTTTGAAACAAATAATCAAAAGCAAATATATTAAGCTATGTTCTGGGCCTTTTGAGTCGGTCTTCCATGTTTCTGAGAAACCATACAGCCTTTCCTTTTGTTTTGTTTGTCCATGAAACTGTACCCTTGATTCCTGATATCTATAAGAATGACTGCAAGATGCTTACTGAGTGTACTCATTTACTTTGCAGAATCCTGTATCTCTAAACATGGTAATTAGTACAATGCTCTTCTCTATCCTCCAGGTCCTCTGGCAGGTTTGCTCCTAATCCCTGTGATGTAATGACAGCTCTTTCTCTTGTGCTTTTATCCGTGCTTCCATGAATTTTTTTCCTTATAGGCTATCTGCCTTTGAGGTAGATTGTCACGGTTGGTGCTGCATCTCCTGGAGAGCTTCAGAAAATCTATTTATTATGAGTTTTGACTTACCTCATGCCTATGCTCCCATTGATCATCCTTATTAAACTATTAAAGAAAAATACTACTCAAATTATGCAGCATGGGGATATTTACTGGAAGTTTTTTATGGTTTTCCATGCTTAAACTGTTAAGTTTTCAGGCTACTGTGATAATACATTACAACTTGCCAGTCTGTGATTGGCATCAATTCATAACATGTACAAATCTAAATGAGATTTTTCTTATTCATGTGAATACATACTCACAGGCTGTGAATTGAAATCATCAGTAAAAAGAGGAAAGTGTGTTCAGCCCTGAATTTGAAAGCGTGTGTGGCAGAACCTCCTAAATTATAGGGCCCACATGCACCTGTCACTGTCCAACGACCTTTGACATCTATGCATACGTTCCCGGTAACTTAAAAAGACTGTCGGGTGTCCTCGGGGAACCCCGAATCATCCACGATTTCCGAGCAGGATCACATTACAGAGTCATTGCAGTATTACAACAGTTTATTCAAATAGATACATCAGAGTAAAAACAACGGAAGTCTTACAATAACTTAGTTTACAAACCAGTGGTTTCAAACCTTACAAACTAAGTTTGATAGTTAATACAAAACGTAGTAGTGGAGTGGCATTATACATAATACAAAACACATAATAGAACTACCCTGCCCAAGGGCCACACATTTACTTCTCATCGTCAGATTGAACAATAGTCATGCAGCACGATCCAAAACAGATCTGCTCATGAGACTCACCTGCAACAAGGGTCAACGAACCCTGAGTATAAAAGTACTCAATAAGACTTAACCGAAATAAAATTGAGAAGACTCAGGAATGCAGGCTCAGGGATTCAAGGTAGGGCTTTAGCAATAATTAAAGTTCTTTTGCGTAAAAGCTTTTTAACAAAATTCTTTATTTCGACAGTTAAAACTTCATAAGATCATATACAAAGATGACACGATCCGTAATGAGATCATGAAACTTCATATCCAACACCTTCTCAAATTTCAGTTATTAAACTACGATGATGAACAGAGAAGTGAGTCTCCATAACCGAGGAGCAACGACGATTCGAATCGATTATAACCCAGCTGGGGATTCCAGACCACACGGCATATGCAGGTCTCCGACTTACATATATCAACCTACCCTCGAATCCTCTAAAACAAGAACGGGTCCGCGCCACCCGAGAATACAGTACTCCACACTCCAGCCCATTGCCACGTGGGTACATGCTATTCCCGCCATCTCTCCACTCCCAATGCGCGAGTAGCCATTCTCGTCATAGAATCGTCAAGTTAAGGCTTACCGGAGTATGTGGTTAGTACTACAAAGTCTCACCGCACACAGTTCAACAACGGTACGGACCTTAACCGACATAGACGGAAAGAATCCGCTCACAAGACCTCCATGTCTTATGGCTCACACACACCGAGTCCGTCCGGTCTAGATTTATTACTTCCTATGCTCATATCACATGATAACATAAGTAACCAAAGATCCATTTAAAACCTGCAGGTGACAGGTAATCACCCGACTTTGACCTGTCTAAGCATGGCTAAGCATAACTAGACATTTATGACGTAAAACGGGTAACAAGGTAGGTACGGAAAAACAATGTTGGTAATGCATCAATTAGGCTTTTACTTAACTCCTAATCACTTAATGCAGTATAGAAAAGCAAAAACGAAATTAAGTTGTAAAACACAAGGTAGGGTTGTATGCATCCGGGGCTTGCCTTCGTTGACGGAAAAGTCTGGTTCCGGAGTCGCACCACAAATATCCAACCCGACCTCCACAGACGGATCAACCTCCTCAACTACTTGATTAACTACCACGTGCTCACCTTCGTTCACTACACGTAGTAACAATGCCATGTTTAACATGATGCGAAATATAAAACATGATACTTGATGATGGATGCAAAAATTAACAACTTGAATACAACTTTTCTTCGCGGTACAGTTAAGTAATTATCATAAAGCATTTTTAGTCGTTCTTCTAACAAGTCAAAGGTTCACTTATCATACATGTTACCAACTAAAGCTTCATCATGAAAAGACATGTATAAACAATATACAAAGAAATGTATACCTTTTACTTTTTACCCAAGAGGTTGCATCGAAGAAGCAATCAAGTTTATTAACATGCATTTACTAATGAAATTCTTAATTAAGTCATTTAGAATTATTAACTAAAGGGCGAACATAAACATATCAAGACAAACACAAGATTATGCAAGACATAGACACCAATAGCTATTTAACTAACATCACACAACTAACTATAGAGAGCAAGCACATCAATCATGACACAAGTTTACAAGGTCACAAGTATCATAACTTGACCATCAACAAGGGCATAAGCCATATGTAGCAACACATTAAGTAAACAACCACAACTAGCATATGTCTATTTCTGGACTGGAAACAACAGCTTCATGTTTGGATCGTAACTAGAGTTATACAAATCCAATAGCCATGCAACAAGACATTCTGGAAAGATTATGAAATTTTTTACAACTCATCTTTAATCATCTTAGCATGATTCTCAAGTTAACTAAGTCAAATATACCCATTTACAGAAACTGGTCCACAATTGACAGAGAGCAGTCATTTCTGAAATCCAACTTTAAACAGCCATAACTCACAAACCACAAGGCCAAATACCACCAAATTTTAACAGAAGCTAGATACATGAATTATCTACAACTTTTGTATAAACAAGTTTCACAACAAAACACATTATCATGAAGAACTTTGCTAAGTTCCTAGATCTGTCCATAAACCACATCGGCAAGATTAACTTATGTTGCAAACACATAATTGGGAAAAACCAACTTTACCAACATTTCACACATGACTAAAGAACACCAGAAAGCATGGTGCTCACCTCTAAATAAATTTTCTTAAAGCATTTCTTAATTTATTTAGACATCAAGGTGTATTTATGAACATATACAAAAAATGCACAATAACTTCTACAAAAATTACAGTAGATCACATATCATCTCAATAGTCTACTGTACAAATTTCATACCATTTGCATAAGTATAGCTGCCTCTATGAAAAAGACAATTTGCTATTGCAAGAAATCATGTGAGAGCGAGATAAACCAAAAACTCACTCATACTTCATCCAACACTCATGAAATTTTTACCACACATCAACTATCACATGAGTAGCATGCCATAAAAATTTCACTTCATTTGGAGCCCTAGATCTGCAGTTATGGAAAATAACAAATTCAACTAGCATTACAACCTTACTGCACAAATCTATTTTTACAGCTAAAACTTTAAACTAAAACATGCCATATTATAGATCTCGTGATAGAAAATTTCACAAGGATTCCAAAAAGTCCTCATTTGCTATTTTATTTAATTTCCTATGAATTACTATGAATTTTCAAAGTTCCAAATTTGATTTCAAAGAAAACAGGTCCAAAAGGCACTATTCACATGAGTCTGCGGGTTCACGTAAAAGCCCCTCACAATTCTCGAATTTGAAGACGAAGTCCACGGTCGCGAGGAAGAAAAAACAGAGGACACCGGAGAGCTCGATTTCCGCCGGTGGACTTCAGAGGGCGGCAATTGGAGGGGTGGTCGAGCGACGGGGTGACGACGCGAGCTTGAGGATGGCCGCAGCTCGGCCGTGGGCTCGCGTGACGGCCTGGCCACGCGAGCCCACGGCTCGGCGGGGGGGCATGCATGTCAGAGGCGCCTCGGCGTGCCACGATGATAAGACGAAAGCAACCGGTTTGTTTGCGAGCATCACGCAACATGCAGGTAAGCGCAAAACAAGAGAGATAAATGAGTGAGAGAAATGAGGAGTAGGGTGGCCCGCAGCGGAGGCGAAGCTCGACGGCCATGACGGACGGCCGCGAGGAAGAAAACGGCTCATTGATGACTCCAGCGAAATTGGACGGCCGGAGCGAGTCAAAGTGTCGCTGCAGGATGTGGCAAAGCTTATAGCGCGCTCAAATCGGCCGAGAGGATGAGCGGTGGAGGTGGTGTCGTCGGCAAGAAGAATGGACGCGGCGACGGCGTAACAGAGAAATGAAAAGGAGGAGAACGCAGCGGCGGCACAAGCTATATATGATGGCCAGGAAGCAAGAGGAAACCACGTAGGAGTCTTCTCTGCGCCAGCGCGACACCGAGGGCGGCCACAGGCGCGACTGGAAGACAATCGAAGCTCGTCGTCGGTGAGTTGGCTTCCGCAGTTACTGTTCACCGAAATTACAGAACTGCCACTCGCTTAATTTCCCAATTTACTCCAAATTTTATATGGTAACTCAAAAATCTCCAAAAATAAAAGTTGTTCCAAATTCAAAGTTCTACAACTTTGCTTTTATAACCACCCCCTAATTCGGTCTACATTTTGAAATGCAAATTTGAATTTAAATAGGGGACATTTAAAGAATTTCGCCTTTTCAAATTACTTCAAATTTTATAAAACAACTTTGAAAACTCCAAACACCAACTTTGTACACCATGACAAACTCTACACTTTTGCTTTTAGACTCAACCCCAAAATGTGCTTAGATTTTGAATTGGGTTACCCAGGGTAAACTTAAATGCTGGAAATTCGGGTTTTCGAAAATCCAATTAAACACAAATGTTTTGAAATTGATTCATCCATACAAGTCAACACATATCATAAAACAAGGTCCACACCAAGCATTGCAACAAGATTAGACTTGTTTAAAAGATTCCCACATCAAGATTTACAAAGTTTCCTAATCATTATTATTAATATTATTTCAGGTAATATATAAAACACTCCATAAAATAACATTTCCATACTATAATATGAACATGAAATGCACTCATGAGTTGATGCGTGATGATTATGCATAATGATGACATGATCACCTTCTTAATTTTTTTTTTTTTAACATCGGGGATGTTACAGCGTGCCACAAGAAATACGACTTCAGTCCACTTAAT